TGTGTATCTGTTCCTCACACCCACTTCCGCGCCCTCGCAACTATCTGCTGTTTAGTATTCGGGTTCTCTCTCTCTCTCTCTCTCTCTCTCTCTCTCTCTCTCTCTCTCTCTCTCTCTCTCTCTGTGTTTATCTATCTATCTATCTATCTATCTATCTATCTATCTATTCCTGTTCCCCACACCCACTTCTCTTCCGCCTGCAATATCAAATCACAAAGAAACATCCAACGGCGAAATGAAAGGGAGTTCTCCTTCTCCGGTTTTCTGAGAGAAGTGGACGACATCCGATGAAAGGGAGTTCTCCTTCTTTGTATGCAGTTCGACATAAGCGCACAACAGGGACTTTTTCTTCTTATTGGTGCGCCTGGGTAATTTGTTCTCCTTCTTTGTATGCAGTTCGCCTTAGGAGTTTCCGCTCCGAATCACACACACAAAAGACGTCCCATTAATTCCGCAAGCGAAAGAAGCGAGACAGATGGCCATCACCTCCACACGAAAAGGTCGTCGACACAACGGGACGCATTGCGTCTACGAACTCGAAAAAATACAGACAGGAGGGAAAAAATATACGGAGGGCAAAAATATACGAACTGGAACAAATAGAGACATGAACAGAAGATCATTTTTTTCTTTGGAATCTTTCTATTTTAAAAAACAAAAGACACATGAACAGAAGATCAACAGATGGATTTGTGATGGATAGGAAGTGGTACATGTATGGTCCAATTTTTTTTTTGGACCGACGGAGCACAAGGGTGAGAAGAGAAAGACGGCGGCTGCAAAATTCGTCTGTACCTAAACATTCACCACGCAGAGCCACAAGGGCGGAAGGAGCAAGAGTGCAGACAGCAAAGGGGGGAAGAGAGCAAAACGGCGGAGGACAAGGAAGGGCAAAAGGGGAACGACCAAAACATGCGGAGAGCGTACGGGAGACGGGGAGAGAATAGCGTAAGAGGTGGCGCATGGGAGGGAGGAGAAAGACGGCGGCTGTCGCTCGCACGATTTCACGTGACATATTAGAGAAACAAGGGCCATGGTGATTACATTTTATCCGCCTCCCAGTTATTATTCTGAGACATCTTCGCTGCCTCGCCCCCTCCGCTCCAAAAGCGCCACGTCGAAGACTGAAAGTCGCTAGGTGGCGCCCTGTACCTGCAAGTTCACATGCAGATCAGTCCACGTGTCAGTACACTTCTCATCGGACCAAAATTAGTACTTCGCCTATTATATATACAATCACGTCCACATGCATTCCCAGCGTTAACGAAGGCAACCATGCCGGCAAACGGATAAAGATTCGATGGCATCACTTACTGCACACACAATCACGCCTACATTCATATGGCCACTCCTGACATCGACACCGACGATGCCGCAAGACAAGCAACCCTCGGCCCCATAAGCACTCCCCTCTCTCTCGCCCTCCTCCGGCTCTTTCCCTCTCGTTCCCGAAGTCCTCCCACTCCCCTTCTCCTTCTCTCTTATTTCACCCTTCACAGCCGGCTCTCTCCCCTCACACCCCTCCGCCGCCCACCCCCACTCACGTGCCCCCTCTCTCCCCGCGCGCTCTCGCAAGCCCTATCGTTCATAGTCGGTAGTCAATTCCTTCTTAACCCCCCACCCCACCCCACCCCACCCCACCACCATCATCACCACACCCCCTTCCCTCACACTCACTGCCTCTCGGGAGCCGCACTTCTGCTTCGTCCCCCATCCCAACTGCAGATCGACTAACCCTCCGACTGACTCATCAAGGGGCAGCCAATCATCCCGCTCCATCCATTGATTGACCCGACGCTCGAGATTTGCCGAACCACCGCCGTTTCTCAAGGGGCAGCCAATCATCGGCCCAGTGGCGAAATATCGTAATGTCGACAATGAGTCGGTGTTTTGTGATTGATCAGAGGCAGGAGCAATCCATTGCACACCGACACCGTTTGCCCAACCGAGGAGCTGACATATCGCTCAACGGCTACATCTCATTCAAATTGCCCAACCGAGGTTTCTTAAATTTTGGTTCCCGTTTTAAATCCAAAAAGAGCCGTTGGCTGTCGAAAATGACTGCCCCCCGATGGTGATCAAGTCGTCGTGCCCGGGAGAGAAGAAAACAGACGTTCGGCGCCGCCCCTCCTCCAGCCACACACACACAGAGAAGAGTAAAGTTGAAATGGTGGAATCTGAATCTTACACATGCAGGAACCATTCACGCAACTGGACGCTCCGCTGCAACCCCTAGAAAGATCTCTTTCTCAACCTCCACGGCATCGCTTCTTCCTCACACTCCTCTCGCCGTCGCTCGTGACCTCCGACGCAATCAGCCCCTTTCTCCGACTTTCCACGGCACTAACCCACTCGATCCTGCTGCCCTTCCTCCCTTGTCCTACCTCTCCTCCATTCAGCCCGCCCTCGCCATTCCCGCCGTGGCCAGTGCCAACCCAAAAACAAATGCAATGTCCCTTTCCTTCCCCACGCCTCCTCTCTCTCTCTCTCTCTCTCTCTCTCTCTCTCTCTCTCTCAAATTCCCTCGTTGTCTTGATGGCTCAATTCTTCGCCGAATCGCTCCTTGCGAATGCAGCGCGCGAGTTTCACCTTCCTCCTCTGCGGACAGATGGGAGACAAGTTCGCCAAAAAAAGTCGGAGAATATTTTCCGACTTCCTCCTGAGCGTCCCCTTCTTCGACCAACAAGCTCAACAGACCATTTTCCTCCGCAGTATCATGTCTATCCGCGACTTTGCCGGGACACCCAACGACCCCACAACTACGCTAATAAAGTGCAGGCGCCACCATAGCCGACCTCCACCCTTCTGAGAATCTCTAGCACACCCTGCTTCGCCGGTGAAGCAGTTCCCACCGACGCGGCGGCGCTCGCCGGCATTGTGCTGATTTACAGCGGCGCCGAAAATTTGAACGAAAATTCGCACCACGGTGCTTCGGCGCCGATCGCTTCGTTCCCTGTTCCCGCCAAACTCTCGTCTCGTCAGTCACTCAGAGGCGACATTCCCGAGGCGACGTCATCAAACCATCGCTCCTTTGTGGCTGAGCCTTCGCCTCGCCATCACCGATCCGGACCCAAACCCTCCGAGGAACCTCGCGGCCGGAGAGAGGATGATGGGATGTCCGAATCACCGATCGTAAATGGAAACCGTCAGTGACCATCACCAGGCTACACATGAAAGACGGATGGTTAAACGGCTTGATACAGTAACAGATGGACGATGGGATTGAAAGAGATGATAGACATACGAAGAAGCGCGATGACCACAGTCCGAGAACAGGGGCGAGGAGTACGTTTCCCGTCGCGGCGTGGCCCCACCCTCGTCCCTCGACCAACTCCCTCTCTCTCACAACCCACGCACACACACGCTCGCCCGTCCCTAGCGCGCGAGGGCGCTCGCCCGCGCGACTTGCGCGCTGCTGCCCCTTCTACCTCTCGTCCGCGCGCACGCTCGCTGCAAGCGTTCTCGTCGAACCCCCTTCCTGCTCTGACCCCCCGCGAATTTCCCAACAAGCCACTAACGACTCTCTTCCTGTCCTGCGTTACGCGTGTGCGTCTGTCTGCGGCGCTGTGCAGGTGGCGGGTCGGGGTGCGGCGGAGAGCGGTGACGGAGATGGGAAACTTGAGGGGAGCGCGCGCGCGCGTGGGCGGGGAGTTTGCGGGTACGTCTTCACAGAGAGAACCCTCTCAAACCCCAGACCAGCCCAGAGCCGTGGCGACAGAACAGTGACCGACCGACCAGACCAGTGCGCGACCGCCGGTAGCAACACCGACCACTCGGGGGACCGACATCCAAAGGAGAAAAGGCCTACTTCACGCCCCCCTTCACATGCGCATCGCTCCAGTACTACCTTCCGCAACACCTCCCCCGTTAGTCAGACTTCTGTAGCTACCTACCCAGTCTTCGCTGATTCGAGAGAGTGCAAATAGGATGCACTCATTTTCGTTCCCGTCACGCGTCACCTTGCTCTGGCCGAATCTTGGATCTCCTCTCTGGCCCGTTGGCCTAACCTCCCCTCGTCCAGGCTCCCGCAACTGCGGCTCCAGCAACCTCCCCCGCTTTGAAAGTCCCTCCGATTGAAAAGAAAAGAGAGAGGAAACTCTGTGGGTTTGGCGAGGGGAAGCCCACCGCAGTGCTCAGGCAGCGCTAAGTCTCACCACAGTGCTCACGCAGCACTCAGACCGGCTCACCAGCGCTCAGACCGGCTCACCGCAGTCATGCGCGGAGTGTACTATCGCATCGACTTCAAACACGATAAAAGATAGCTACACGATGGATATGGTCATCGACATGCCCCACCGTGTTTGGTGCATCGAGCTCGTGCAGCTCACGATTATGTACTCCGTCATAGGAGATTACGTATTCACACACTAGTTAAGCTCTCCTTTCCGACCTTATGTATGATTCACTTTTTGCCGCGATGTCAGTAATTTACTGCTTAGGGTTTATTGTACTTTGGCAAATCATGAAATCTCTACCCTTTCTCTTGACCTCAAGTGTTTGTCATTCTCCATCTTTCTTCTAAGTCCTCGTGAGTTTCGGTCGTCTGTTCTATCTCCTGTCCTTCCTTCTACCGTCGGCTCCGGGAGTTAAGTTTCTTAGTGAGGAAGATTTTTATATTCTTATTACTCCCGTCGAAAAGTTATATTTTCCGCCTCCGCTAAGGTGTGCATGCAGATGCTTCCAAAACAGCTTTTGTCCAGTCACATAGCAAGGCATAGTAGTTAGAATTTGGTCGTGTCGTCCAAAGGAAATTAACCGTTCGCCATTGATTCGCTGTCGAGCGTACGGTCCCCATTGGGGGTACCTTCCCGGCAGCGTCACACAGGATTGGCAAAGTTCGCAAGTCGCTTCAAGAAAAGGGAAGCGGCGGAGCCGCTCCGGCCGAGTGCGCCAGCTATACCTCCATCGAGTCCCTTCAACAGGACAGGGTCTCGAGAGGTACAACTTACCTCCACCTGCGGGAGCTGTCACCATCCCTTGGGTGGGCGTATCCCCGCGAAGCTACTGAACCACACGCGAAAACTTTTACTTACAATCGCGGAGGTGGCCCAGCCGAGGGCGTTTCTCGTATGCTGTAGCATAGGGGGTACGTGCGGTCCACGCCTAGCTCAAACCCGTACGCGAACCGTCACACTGGGGCGCTGATTAAAAATCGCCAAAGATGGCGGTGTTAAAACGTGTTCGCCCACATATTTTTTCACTTTTTACTTTTTGTTTTCACTTTAGTTCGGGGTTTAAACAATTTTATTATTTTTTGAAACTTTTTTAGAGGGTTTTGTATTATGTGAAGTACACATTTGTAAATTTTCAGGGCATTTAGCTATGCTAAAATAAAAAAGAAAAATCGCAAAAGATGGCGGTGTCGAAAACATGCTCGCGCACTTACTAAATTTAATTCTTTTTTTATTTTTATTATTAATATTTATTTTAGATCTTTTATTTTTATTATTCGTATTTATTTTTTATATTTTATTTGTATTTTAAATTTGGTAAGTAATTCGGATGTAATGCTCAGGTGAATCTTGCTTAATTTATTTTTTTCCATAACATATCTTTTTTTTTTCAGATTTTGTTGATGATTTTTTTTTTTT